GATATAAAAGTAATATAATGATAGTACAAATGATAATCAATAATCAACAAATCAATATCAGTGTCAATAAATACTACAGTTTCAAATTGATATTTGTGATTAGAATACATGTTCTATTACATTTTTCTGTCCCTTATAGCTCTAGAGTGCATGACGTCACAATCAGTGGGATGCAATGGAATTAGGAGGAGAACAGTAATGAGTTAATTGAAACAAGAGCAGTTAGATAAGGAGAGGAGGCACATATTATGAATTATGAACTATGGATTTTTTAACACCCTTTGTGGAAAGGGGCCCATATGCATCATGCTTTGAGGTCTTCAGATTAGTGAGACATGGTAAAAAAACAATAAGGTCCATTTGGCATTTGGTAGTTTGTAAGCAGTATTGTAAACTTAAGATGCAAAGGGTTCAATGACATAGAATGGGGCACTACAGTTAAAATTAATGGTTTACTTATTTCATTTTAAAGGAATTATTAACGTGTGCCTACCAGTAGTATTTCATAACCCAGGCAGAACAGAAACTTTTGTTTTGAAGAATCGTTACAGGGGAAGAGCTTGGTAAAGTGGAGAAGCAAAAATACAGAAGTGCATTCTGAACGAGATTGCAAAAAAACTATTGATATTACGAAAGCAAGAATAGTTTTCAATAACGAACAAGAGACATCTGCTGTAATTAGTGGTTGAAAATGCACAATGCAGAGATATTTCTAGAATAAAAGGTTTTAGTTGAAATGTAGTCTAGAGTTTTAGAAGCAAGGAACTACAATTAAACATTTATGCAGGTGTTAAACAATGACACTGCTTAAAAGACTGCAAGCTGCCTTGTTTGCAGATGTGAATGAGAGAGACTTTTGTTTGTGATGCTGTACCAGTTGGAATTTCATTTCACATGTGGCGTAATTTGAGTATGCAAATCCCCTGCTGTGTCTACAAGCATACATATGCAGTGGCCTTTGTCTCACAGGAAAGGCAAATATTGGTTAAGCATATTGCTAATTCTGGATACATTTTTCACGTTAAGCATTTTTTCAAATCTTTTGAATATTGTACACATCTGCATATACACATACATATGAGGGGCAATGTGTGACTCAAATATAAAACAGTTTAAAGTAATCACAGAGCCCAATTATCTGGGTGGAGCTTAATCACACAGCTTGCTGTAGTGGCATAAAAGAGGCAAAGACATAGGAACAAGAAAAAAAAGAGAACAGAAATATCTATTTCTGAAATACTACTACAAAAGATCTTAAAAATCTGTTTATATTAGCTTCCACTTTAGACCATAGAAGAGTAAGCCTTAACTTTAGCATACCCTTATTTAAAAGTGAAATAAAACAAAGCATGCAATTATCTGTTTCTGCTGGACTATTTTACATGCAGACAAAAACCTGCACTGAAGAAAAATCCTGAAAAGATGCCTCAGATCTGATTTCAGGGACAGGGAAAATTGGAACAAGTGGCAGGAAAGTGAACCGACTTGGAACAATAATTAGAAGATTGTGGTAGAAATCTTTCTGATGGCTACAATATGTCATGTACATTTGTATTAAATGTACAATTAGGACATATGATGTGAACTTTTGATTTGATTGACGAGATCTGAATGGTAGGCCCTGTGTTTTTCATGATGGAGGGTAAGTTCTGTGAATTTTCTTTCTTCCATGGATGTTTGATTTATTAGTGGCTTGTTGAGCCTCATTATTCCTTGACTGAACATTAACCTTCACACCAAGATCCAGCAGGAATCTTTTTTCCCCCATGAAATGAGTTTTGTAGGATCTTCTCTGTGGAACACTGAGTCACAAGCCCATAACTCCGGAAGGATTTGAGCTCTAATTGAATCTGCAGCTTTTGTTAGCTTTCTATAGTCTAAATCTTCAGAGCATCACTTTCCCTAGACTAAAATTATAACTCCTTACTATCTGTTTTTCTGTTGATGCTTCAGTCTGTTTTGGAGAAGTGCTGCTATCCTTGTAGCTATGTAGATTCGAACAGGTTCACCAGCACTTCAGCGATTAATGTTTCCTGTTTGACTTCACGCCAGTGCTGTTTTACTTTCTCCACTGTGTGTGAATTAAGAAATGATTAACCCATTGTAAAATGACTCACGGACTGAGTCATTGGTAACCTTGTTGTAGACTCAGTTACACTGAAACATGTTAAACAGAACTGGTGTGGTGTGTAGCTATTATGCATTTAAGGGAACATCTAAATGTTAATTTCATGCTGAGATATTAACCATTACTTGTTCCTTTGCAGACAACACACACACTGACGCAGCTACCCATTCAAACAAATGTTTGTTCATTTAGCTTTCTGTCGTTGTGACACAGCCCCAAAGCAAAAACCCCATTTCCAGCTCACTTTACTGTGGAGAGGCTGGCCATCAGCCCATCCATCCTTGGGAAAGTAGCTGGGAACTCGATACAAACTGTTAATTAAAGTTTAAATTCATCTGCTACTAGTACCCTGAGTGGCACCTTTTCCAGAACAGCTCCCTCTGTCTCCATGGTAGGAATGCTACTTTGGAAAGTACTGAACATTTAGTCACCTAACAGCAAAGTGGATTTGCTTAGTTGTCTCAAGAACAGGCCCATGCAGACTTCAGCAATCTGATGAGATCAGGGTTTGAGGTGATATTTTTGCTGTAGAGGTTTGTGGAATGAGTTTCAGGGTTCCTTTTTCACCTCCTATTTTTGATAAGTTCATTCGCACTGTACAGGCAATACTGCCACACTTGAAACACTATAGTATCTGAGTTTATTAGTGTCATTGTTTCCTTTATGGTCATAAGATTAGGTGCAATTAAGATTACACAGGTTTGCTGCTGCCTCTTGGTTAAATACAGTAACTTTCTGCTGGGTGGTTTGTTCAAAGGAACATTTAAATGCTTAAAGTTGAGGTGTCCCAGTTTGTCAATATTTAGACTGTGGACTTTTTGTGCAGCAGGAGCATGAACATGTGTGTTTTATACATACTCCAGGGTTATATACTCTGGATCCACCTTTGCAGAATGGCACGAAACACTATTTGAAGCAATGTTTTCAGAAGGGAATGCTACTTTTATCTCCATTCCTTCATCTCTCTTTTTCTCAGGTAATAATAAAAGTTAGTTGTCAGGTTTTACAGGTTTTGAAGTCATCCACAAGTTGCTTCACAAATGTGGTTGAATGAAGACCCTCAGAGACCACTTTCATTTGGCAGAAGTATATATGTTACCGATATTTCATAATATCGGTAACAATTGAAAAATGATTCCAAATCCTTCAAGATCTACTCTTCGGAGGTCAAAGTATTCCTGAACAAAATTTTGTACTGCAGAACTGGTGATAATTAGACATATTTATTAGCTTAGTTCTTTTGTGGTGCTGAATTCTTTATGGTGTCCAACATATTGTACGCAGCTGAAGTAATATTGCATTAATCATGAATTGTCTTTTAAAGACCCGACCCCTGTAAGCCTTTTGGAAAGAAGTATTAAATATTAAGATGTCGTTTAGTCCGAAATGAGCAGTTATTTGACGTGAAAAAGAGACCTTGGGGTCTTCACAGTCTAAAAAAAACTGCTTTTATTTTAGAAATTAAGAGGTAAATACAATTGAGATATCGAAGCTAATTCTAAAGACTGCACCCTCTTAGTCCCACTTCAATAGAGATTCCGGTCCGGGTTTTGCATCGAGCCTCTCACAAGAAGGCGGCTACAGAGAATGGAGCATCCTGTTCTCTGATGGGGGGGCAACCTCGCTTTTGTGAACACGCACCTGTTAGACTCCACTGCTGGAGTTGGCATCTACACACCTGCTCGCAACGGAGGGATCCTTCAACACGACAGGTGAGGACATTTCGAAAACTATCGCTGAAATGCATAAGGGGATATCCAGTCTCAGACAATACATTTAGGAGCGAAAGTTATTAGCTCTTTTTGTCACTACAGATCGCCAGCGTAATAAACCTGATTGGTTTTGAGTTTGTGTGGCACTGTATATTTTAAGTCAGCCCCGCTAGATTGTATGTCTTTGTTTCGTGAGTTAATCAAACGTTGATAAAAGTACGTGTATTAACTTTACACCTGTACCGTGCAGGACGAGTGATGGCTGTCTAAACCAATTTTCATACCACAACACTCGGAAAAGTCAGACAGCAATACTCTGGTTTGATTGTAGATTACTTCAGTGTGGTTAAAGCAGCTAGTGACTCACTTGTAAGTATACTAACGCTTCGCACTAGTAATGTAAAATGTCGCAGCTGTGGTAGCGCAATAACGTTTGTTTCTGTAACAGTGTTCATTGTTTTAAAAAATAGGAAGGTCTTTTTTATCTGCATAATGATGTTGAGTAAACACTAGCCCTGAGCTAAATATATCCAAAGTTTCAGCTAATACTTTACAAAAGGGATGTAAGACATACTCCTAGTTTTTATACAGTACATATATAATTAAACGACACAAAGGTTTCGATATTCTACTGTATTGAGGTCGCGGTAAATAGAGAAGGTTCGTAGCTTTACCTCTTAGTGAGACTCCTGATTAGGAAGTAACACAGGGGGAAAGGCGCTGACAAAATATTGCAATGTTCAAAAAATTAAACGTTTACAAAGTGTAAAGAGGCTGATCTTACTTTTTGAAGACCTGGTTTATGTTGGCTTATAATGTAGGTAAAGAATCCCTTTCCCTTAACAGCTCTGTGGTTTCTGAAGTGCATGATACCGCAGGTAGACATCCTGTTTGTACATGTGCATATGAATATCACAGCGAGATATGCGTAAATCCAAAATAAATATCTAAACGCCATTTTTAAAAATTAAAGCGCAGTATAAGAGCCGCTATTGCTGGTCGCACGTTGTAAATCGTTAAATTGGTCAAATCTGAAGTGTTTAGATAGGTGTAATGATAAGGCATGTAAAGCTTTGATGTGAGAAGAGGCGGCTCTTTCTTTGTGGTGGCGAGTGGTTCACTTCCTAATGACCGTAATTTATCCTTCAGTTGAAACCCCTTAAGTATTTTGAACTTTTCCCCTTAGTGTGCTTTATTTGTGTTCGAGACAGACATTTATTAATATCAATGGAAAGAACCACGCAGAACAGCTTTTAAAGGTTATTTGGCACAATCCGCCCCTTCTTCGCAGCTGTTGATGAAGGGATGTTTTTACTTACCAGCTCTTCTAAATTAGTCTGATTTAAAAGAGCTCTAGGGCTTGCCTGGGTCCTGCTTTGACAGCATCATTGCTGCTTTCCAAAACATTTTTACTTTCCGTTTAATCCACTGGAAGAAAGACATAGGCTTATGTTCTGGTGGATGGGGAACTGAAGGTGGAGGACACGTGATAAACTGTCTAAATGTGTAATTAGGTCATCTACGCACTTGACCACGTGACCACGTGCATTTAGGTAAATGCAGTTCTTTAATTATACTAATAAAATCCAACTTTCTCCATCACTCAGATTAAGTGCAAGTAGGTTGAAGAGATTCAAGTCTTGGGTTTGTGAAATGGATATCACCTTGTGCATGCCGAGCTATGAACAATAAAGTATTGGCCGAGTGTAATGGTGTCATGAATTAGTGTTACAAATTTATCAGATCCAGTTGACGTACATTGATAGTTCCTATTCTGTCAGTATGAGTTACTGTAACACTTAATACAGTGCAGCATTTAATAAAAGCATTCTTTTTCTATTCAACAGAAAATAAATATATAATTTCTCTTCATTTATGCCCTATTTGAGAATGGAAACAACGTAAATATAAGGTAGTCTTATTAATGAGCTTATTACTCTCAGGATAGGGCAACTATGGAAAAAGCATCCTGTCTTGTAGTGTCCTGATGTTATAGATCATGTGGATAACACAGAAGTGATACTGAGAGCACAGAACTGTCACGTCATGTCATTTGCCAAACCCACTTTATACCGCACGGTGTCGCGGGATGCCGGAGCCTACCGGGCAAGCAACGAGCGCAAGGCAGGGTACACCCTGGACAGGGCGCCAGTCCATCACAGGGCAAGAGCAAGCCAATCACACATGGGCACAATATGGAGGCCACAGTAAAGGCCAAGGGGGGAAATTTGGCCCGGACACCAGGATAACTCCCTACTCTTCTCGAGAAATGCCCGGGGATCTTTAAGGAGACTGAGAGTCAGGACCTCAGTTTAATATCACATCCAAAAGGCGGCACCCACTACAGTATAGTGTCCCCGCCACAGGACCCACACAGACTGCAGAGTGCAGAGTGGGCACCCCCCACTGGTCCCACTAACACCACTTCCAGAAGCAATCACAGCTTCCCAGGAGGTCTCCCATCCAGGTCCTGACCAGGCTCAACCCTGTTTAGCTTCAGTGGGTTGCCAGTTGAGAGCTGCAGGGTGATATGGCTGCTGGCTGATGCACAAAGGAATTGTATAGAACTTCTAATACTGTGGTAGGATTGTACTGCAGACAAATACTTTGTTTTATAAAAGTGCATTGTATAATAATCACAAAATACACAATGCACTTCAATTAAAGTGAAATATGCAAAAGGAAGTGAATGTCAGAGTAAAAAGATACAAACATTTTTGTTTTAAGTTAGTTTTAGGAAAATGTTTAGCAATTGCTTTAACTAGAAATGGATCCATTTATACTTTACTTTTAAATAAGAGGAGCCCTGTAGCTGATGTCTCAGACACAGAGCTGGTTCTGTGCCTCAATTTAGAAATGGGGATAAAAAGAGCCATTTGAATTTATGTCAGAGCTGCCAAAACCCCATGCTGATCAAACTCCTATACAGGAGTCTAGCCTTTTATCTCTGTGGCTATAAAGATTCAAACCTTCAGGAGTGTATTTCACATTTGAAGCTGTTTGTTTTGCTTTTGCCTCAGACTGTTTTTAAATTTGTCCACATTAATCAAACCTCTTTTGTTTTTGTTTTTTTGCTAAACCACATTGCTAACCAGTCCTCCTGTTTTAGGTGAATACTTTGAGACTGATGTTGTTTGAGTTCAAAAATAAATGTGACCTTTATTCAGAGGTATTGAGATGACATTGTGGCTGGTGTTGCCTCTCTGTTTTCAATTGTTTACTTGCCACTAGTATTAAAATCAAACAAGAAATTATCCTGTACAATGGGGAGGACAGGTACTAGGATGGGCCAGTCTAAAAGTCAGATATTTTATGAGTTTGCTTTTATATTTCCACAGTGTGACTAACTGCACAAGATCACCTTATGTAACTGCTTGCTAATAAGCAATACCAAATCACAGCACACACTTCTAACGGCAGCCCAATAAAGCTGTATTTTTTCCAAGAGCAGTGACATGCACACCTTTTTTTAACTTAGCATGCCTAGATTAGCTGTGAGAGGGTGAAGGAGTGATGCGGGATTTTTGAAAACACACAAAGAGGACAGATATTTTCCCTACTGTATTTACACTTTCTAGTCAGTGACTGTCTCCATTGCTTTTTTGTGCAGATATTGAGTGAAGTAAAATGAAGTTTCAGGAGCTGTGTGTAATAAGCTGACACGCAAAGCCGAGGACACACAAGTGTTGCACGTACTGTATGCTTGCAGACAACAATCACTCTCCAGCACCCTCCTGGTCAGAAAACCAATGAACCACATAATAAAAAAGAAAACACAAACTATGCAATTTGTTTAGTAGTGTTGTTTAAGTTGCGACCATTTAAACTAATGTGCAGGAAAACAGTTGAAGATACAATCATGTTAGTGGACTGTCCTGTTTTAGAATCATACAGGAATAATATTTGGTATTACTTTAACAAAACTGTATTTAACCTATTTAATTATGTTAGGCCAATGCCTAATATCAGATAATACTTTGGAAAGTAAGTTAATGAGACCTTTGACATTAGTAGCTAAAGGCCTCGAACATTTTAGGGAGAAAAACACCTGCTGTAGCAGAGTGGCAACAATAATGGCCAGGTTTAAAAAAACAACTGTCAAAGAGTAAGGCCTCACAAAAACACTCAACACTTGGGGCTCATTTGAAAAATGGTTTTTGTATTGAAATGGTTTGTGTATGTGGCCATCAATGTGTGACCTTGTGTGATTTTATGGTAAAGGGGTCCATGCATGTTCATGTAAAACTGTATGTATGTATGTATAAAAGCAGAAAGGTTTTTATCACTTTTAGGTTGATATGAAATCTCCTGCTGCTTTAGACAGGATGTACAACATAAATATTTTGTAACCGAAATTGCCCAGAAATGTTTTTCACAAGTTTTGCTTCATGATAACTGTAATTAAAAAACTTTATTCTGAAACTTAACTCTTTTGAAAAAGATATGTACCAAAGAAGAGCCTTGATATTTCACCCATAACGCCTTTATCAAGAGTACTGTAGCTCAAAAGCCAGTTGTTTCTGCTCTTTGGTCTTTCATGACAGAGCCTGCAGGTGGGTAGTGAAGGACTGTCTTATATAAATGTGATATACTGAAGCACGTATTAAGTGTATATTATCAATGTTTGTGCTCCAAGATAAGCACATGGGGAAGGAATACTTTAACACCTATTGGTTTTAATCCACTTGAATATGGATGGCCTGCAATATTCCTGCAATTTTCCAAAAACGTTGTTTGTTTAAAATATAGTTGGCATCGTTTTGAAAAGGTCTTGATATGCACATAGAAATTAATGATCTTTGAAGCAGCAGGCTGTTACCTAGAAACACACAAAGGCTTTTAAGCAATGCTTTCAGGCTTTACCAAGTTCCTTGTTTTCCACTCTGGAGGGACTTAACAAGCAGATATCAGCAAGGCCTATCAAGGCCTTCAGTAGTACCTTGCTGATCTGTATTTCATGTCCTTAGATGACAGAAGCCTCTTCCATTACCTCTGCTTTC